GCAGAACTCTCTGTTGTATACTACTTATTTCTAATTTCGATTCGTTTTAGACAACTCAATTTTGGAGGAAGTCAATGAATTCCGAGATCCAGGAATAACTACTGATCAGCACTTGCGTTGGAATTTGCACATTGACAAAGTAGTGGCTAAAGCAAACAGGATGTTGGGATTAATTAATAGAACTTGCAGAGATTTTGGCGATCACAAGACTCTGAGAACTCTCTACTGTGCTCTTCTACAATCCAATTTAGAATACTGCTATCTAATATGGTCCCTTTACACCATAAAAGGCATTGAAATGTTGGAGAAAGTCCAAAAGAGGGCAACTAAATTTATCTTAAAGACTGAGGACTGTGCAGGCCCGCAAATGATCCCCAAATTGTGCCGCAAATGATCCCGGGACCGGAACTGATTCCACCGCAAAAAGTTACAAATGGCGTGGACTCCATGAAAAGTCTATGGATGGATACATATTTTCTTAGGTGAAGAAAAGACAAGTGCCTCAGGCATAAAAGCAGCAATAAAAAAACGTTTAACATACTGCGCAAAATACTAAATTGACATGCGTCGACTGCATAAATTCTTTTACGAAACGCACTGCAAAAAGAAACATGATTGAATCTTCGAAGATGCCTCTGCCATCTAATTAACCGCTCAGAACTTTTCCCTGTACACTTGTTATACTTGCGTCCTAGATAGCCACGGGAGATTCCCCCGTGTTAGTTGCCGCAGTAAAAATGTAGCCAATCCACTTTGGAATTCTCAGTTGTCTCCAAATTTGAGGATATAGTGAACATCCTGTGTTATCATACATCCCAGGCCCGGGCCCAATAACGTTATTCAGGGAAGGATCTTAACTAACGTCGGATTTAATTTTTAAAGTTGTGGAATTTGCGTTCAAATTGTTCACACCGCACATTTTCAGGCGTTTCGTGTAATAACTGTTACATCAAAATATTGTCTTATTACTATGAAACTCAGAAAACCGTGAATACGAGAAATTTTTAAGGATTATTATCGTGTAGCAGGGAAAAAGCCAATAAGCGTGAGAAAACTAAACCGCAAACACCAGCAATAATAGGGCACATTTGATATATCAATATTCTAACATGGCTCTGAGGCTTTCAGGACAAACTTTTATGTTTGGTGGTGTTTTCTTTGTATCTAAGTCTCTTTTGGCAATTGAAAGACAAAGGAAAAGAATATTCATATATGGAGCGTTGGCCTATTGGTTGTGGTTTTGAGTTTTTCTCGCGTGTCCTGAACTTTATTGTGATTGGTTCAGTACCAAATTCATCTTTCGGAATCAAATTGAAATGTTATCGGTTTTCTGAGTTTCACCGTGATAAAAAAGCGATTGCATAAATTGTAAATCCACTGTCCAAATTCCTGAGTCCTTACATTTCCAAATTTTATGCCATGGCAACCATTTCCGGTCGGGGATCATTTACGGTACAATCTGGGATCACTTCTGGTCCTGGGACCCGTTTCTTGAAGTTCCCAAAAAGTTCTCGCACCCGAAAAGCCGTAGCAAAATATGAAACGTTTTGAGTACAGAACTGCCTTATTAATATATTCTTAATACGAACAGAGGTTCTCTTCTTACATGAAGTTTCAGGCGTATACACCCCTCTGTCTTTAAACACCAATTAACTAAAAATGGCTTTTCGGGCCCAAAATGATTCCGGGGCTTTTGAGAAATGGGCGCCAGGGATCATTTGCGGGCCTGTACAGGACTGCTATGCTGACCGCCTAAAGATATTAAATTTGTTATCATTGGAAAAGAGGCGATTGTTAGCAGATGTTACTTTTTTATATAAAGCTCTTCACGAAATGATTGATATTGATGTTGAGCCCTATGTAGATTTCTGTAAGGAAAATGATCACTATTCGTTTAGACACAATGACAAGTTAATCCTAAAGATAAGATATGCAGGAACGAATGTTCTTACATGTAAATATACTTATTTTTATAGTTATAGAAACATGGAACTCCCTTCCTCTTTCCATTCGTGAGGCTACAAGTGTAAATTCTTTTAAAGCTTTAATCAAAAAGTTTTTTTTTGGATTCATATATTCTTTGAATGTTTTCCTTGTTACAATATTTAATTTTTAATATTTGTTAACGGAGAAACAACAATAACATGATATTAAGTGTAAATTCTGGGAGAAATGTATACTCGTGGAAAAAATTCAACTCGTATTTTTTCCGTGAGTATACGTTTCTCCCAGAATTTACACTTAATACTAGGGTATCTAAAAGATAATAATGCTGTGGCGCATTCTATTGATGGTGACATATTTTACGCAGTGATTCATCTATAAC